TAAGAGCAGAGAAACGTGCAGCGTGGAGACAAGCGCGTTTAAAATCTCTAGAACAGGTACAAAAATTTAATGTTCTCTTTTATACTAAAAAATTCATGCATGGAATAATATTTAAATTTATTTATATTAAATATTCACATTTAGGATGCTCTTCAAGCACAGATAGTAATTAAGAAAATGAGTGAGATGATGGATACTACAAATAAGACGGACTCAATACAGGATTCTACAGATACTGGTACCCCTATTGTTGAGTCAGAAAAGGCAGCTGATGTAAGCATTTGTAATGAACCTTTATTCTAGTCATACCACCAATAAACTAAAACAGTAAATGTAATCTAACGATGTGTTTGAAACAAATTAACCAGCATTTTTTTATTGTATTACTAATTACTTCTTTGCTCACCTGTAGTTCTAACTTAGTGTTCGTATATTTACAATATTATATTAACTACAGTGGTACTCCCTTTGTCTGTCTTACTATCATAGTTCACTACGTTACGGCCGTCTAGTGCAGATTTTCCCAAACTTGCTGTACGCAGCAAAGTGGGTCCCCCTAAAGAGATACGCGAATCCGAGAAAGTAGTGGACGAGAAGGTCACTCGACGTACTGAGGAATACGTGGATGAGGTGACGGGTGAACGTCGTGTGCGAACAGTCGAATACGTCGAGAAGCTCATTGAGCGACAGGTATTATAAATTCTAGAGTTTGCACAAGATTGAAGCACCAAATATTATTTATTCACATTATGGACTAGAGACATCTCTTAAGTGAAGTTCAATTTTAGCACTATTGTACTGGAACTTCGATATGTTGTAATTGATGTTTAATTGAAAAATGTAACTATATAACAACTGTTATGTGAACAAATATTTTAATTAATCAAAATTAATGAAAAATGACTACAATATAAATATAATTAAACACTTAGAAGTTTTAGTACAAATAATAACATAATAGAATAATACAAACAATGAGGTCATGATTTAAAAGACATTAAGAATTTTTATTACAATATAAGGAATAATAATTTGGAATATTATATTAATGCTCTGAGTAACGTAATTAGGAAAAGGGAATATCCATAAAAATTGAAATAAAAAGAAATAAAGTTGTATTTTTTAGTGTGTTCATATATTTATAATTTATCAAATTTTAAATAATCTTGTGTATATATGCATGTTGCTTTTAAAAACATTCTGCTTTAATGCACAAAATGGAAACATTAGTTCAATGGTTGTGTTTGTTGTTCCAAGAATCCAACACTGACCATGGAAGTACAACCTGCACCACCTTGAGCAATTGATTTCATTTCCACTGATCACTAACAAACTCTTCTCACACTATTGGTAATGCTATTATTGATTTTCTTATTCACTATTTACTTAAGCATGTATAAGCATACATTTTTTTAAATAATATCTTATAATTATTTTGGTGGTATTGTTACATATCAAATGCTACTACTGCAAACGTGTTAAAAATTTAATCAGATTTTATAATATAATATATTTGTCTACGTTTATTATAATTAAATTAGTAATTACATGTATCCATACAAATATTTCCCTAATCTACCTTAGCATTTGCAATTATATATTTATGTAATTAGGTTGAAACTCTACGAGAAAAGATTATATCACTGGAATTAAGTAATGCAGAAGATGAAGTAGAAAGTATCACTGGAACGGGTGCAAGCGATGCTGAAAGTGAAAGCGAAGAAATTACTGGACAGTCTTCTACTGTGAGTACTCCACAAGATAGAAATGAAACAATTATATCTACAAGTGCCACTGAAGGTGCCGCTCCTAAAATAAGTGCAAATACTGTTCTTGTTTCAAAAAAAAAGAAACGAAAACGTTCGAAAAAAGGTCGCCATTGACCTGAGATAAGAATATTGGTGCAAAATGATAAAAGACATACGAGAAAGTTTGTGAAGCATTCTTTTTTTTTTTTTTTTTTTTTTTTTTTTTT